TCCCTGCATTCAGCAGGCCAGTAACTGAGGGACTGAGAAACACCCACCACCACCAGCTGCATGCCTACTATACCACCACCTATCTCATCTCGCTGGCAGCTGGCATCACAACTCAGGAGACAGGGCTACATCCACCAGCTGCAGGAGCTGTGTTTCAGTGCATTCACCCTGGGCTATGCCAGAGGAGGGAAGGTTTTACATAGGTAGCTTAGAATGCTCCTGGACATTCAGTGCTGCCCCAGCTTTCCACTGCCCTGGCACAGACACTGGCCCTACACCTTCCTCCAGCAGCGCATTGGCTTCCTATCCTGAGTGGGACTTGGTGGGGGGAGGAAGGACTGCAAAGAGGCAAAACTGGACAAAGCTTCAACGGAATTCTCCTCTCGGATCACCGTGTGCTAGACTGGGCCCCTGGAAGTGGAATGAGGGGTGGGGACAAGGGGGAGTTTTCTCTCTAGCGGTAGGTTAGCCATGGGGTGAAGGGTATGGGAGGAGCAGTGAGCAGAAGGGAACCAGAGGGAGGGAGGTGAGGGGGAAGGAGGGAAAGAACAGAGGGAGCAGGGAAAGCAGAGAAACAGGACAAGGTTGAGGGAGGGTGAGAAACGGACAAGAGAGAGTCGAATACCCGCAGAGAGGAGTGAGAGGGTCTCAGCAGGTCTCTGCCCAGGGAGACCTGTTCCCTCGCTACAGGTAAGCCCCAAAGATTGTCATCTTCCCCAGGGTCTGCCCAGTTGCAGCGACAAGCGTCCGTACCTTGGGTGAGCTCAGGGGCCTCAGCCACATAGGTCAGGCGGAACTTGCTCCTTTTCCAGCTCCGGTCGTTGCTGATGAGGGAGTTGTTGGCCTTCTCAATGTTCACGTCGTCTCCCACGCAGAACACGTCGCACGTTGCAGGGGCCCCCTCCAGCTCGCCCAGGCCTCCAGCCCAGCCTGGCTCCTTGGAGGGGCCACCACCAGCCCCCTGACTACTACTTGCTTATGGAAGGGAAGGCGGAGGGGACAGTGTCAAGCATAACACAGGAGGCTGGGCAAGCTGCCCCGGGACATCTCAGAGGTATATTCTGCCTGTGGTGCATGGGCAATCTCCCGTCAATGTCTGTGTCTGTCACACACACACGCACACCCAGAACTCCCCCCCCCCACACACACATTCCACCAACTTGGCTGCAGATGGGCTCAAACCAGAAGCCCAGTTTTTATCTCCCCCCACCCTTGAGTTTGGGGTGTTTGGAATCTGAAATGGCTCCTTCTTTTGTACTGCGCCAGACCACAGCCTTGCTTCCCCTCACCTTCTGTGATTGAAGGGGTCCAGATTCCACGCCCCCCCCACTCTTGCCGGCTCTCATGATCTGACTGCAAATCTCATGAGATCTGAAGTTTCTCTTTAATGCCCCAGGTCCTGGAGTCAGAATATTATTTGAAAATAACAACTTTAATACAAAAATAAGAGGTGTAAATTCCTGGTCCTCCTGGCATGGAAGAAAGCTTAAAATTGTGACCACTAATGGCTCAAGAACCAGCAGGCCAATAAATTGAACTCAGCTCTGACTACAGATTGAACCTCTCTACTCAGGGAGCCTCGGGACCTGTCCGGTGCCGAATCAAAGAATTTGCTGAACTACAAACGGTCAATATTGCCTAGCAGCATTACCAACACTTCCACTGCTTACTGGGCTCTGAGAAGACATTGAATGGTAAATTAGAGCTAAATAACAGCACAGAATATGGAGAGCCAGGGCTGGTGGCTGTAAATAAACTACAGTAAAACTTCAGTAGTCCGGCATCCAATAGTCCGGCACTCCTGATAGTCCGGCATCAAAATGGCAAGAACCTAGTGAGTGAGCTTCGGCAAACAATGAGTTACAAGGTAACAGCGGCAGCAGCTGAACTGCGCAAAAAGGGTAAAAAAGGCTTAAAAAACCGAAAACATTACAGTATACTGTATACAGTATGTACAATACAAAGGGTTAAGAACACTTTATATATCCCTATATAATGTATACAGTATATATATAACCAGTTTATAGTACCTCCTGATAGTCCGGCATATCTGATAATCCGGCACCACCTAGGTCCCATAGGTTCCGAATTATCAGAAGTCTACTGTATTTGAAAACATAGGAAACTTGGCCACACCCAAAATAAGTGGACATCTAGCTAACTAAAATCATGCCGGACCATGGATGTTGCCAGACCAGAGGGCACCAGACTAGAGAGGTTCAACCTGCACTGTTAAAGTGTCTCCAATTTGTTTTTTGCCTGACATGATTTTTGAACCGGCAGGGCTGATAATACTGGATTCACACCCCTCTATAGCAAAGGACCCCACCTCTCTTTATATGTGGCTGAACTAAAACCCAGAATACTGGGCTGGTCACTGTTCAGCAAGAGCCAACTTCTAGAAGCCACATAAGTGCCACATCCAAACCATGAAAGCAACCTAGCCTGGTGAGAAGGCTCCAGGTTACCCTAAGCTCTGCTCTAGGTCTCTCGCAGGGTTCCTAGACACATTCAGTGCTGCCTGAACCAGGCCAGCTGGGCCACCGTGACCTGCCTGGTTCCCTGAGAGCAGGGGTGCACACAGGCAGACGCCCTGAGGAGCCAGGTCTAAGTCTCTGCTTTGTTTGCTCTGAATCTTTGCCCCTCACAAAGAGCAAGGCTGCTAAAGACATGAACTCCGAAAGACTTGCATTGTGCCAGGGTCCAATTTTAACTAAGAGAGGATTTGCCCACTGGCAGCTTCCTGGGCTCTTTCTCCTCTCCTCTCCCCTCCCAATCCCCAGCCCCCTTTCTAAAGACATGGGAAGCAGACTACCTTGAAGACCTTTTTGGCCCAGGTCCTGAAAGACTCTTCCTGGCCACAGAGCTCATCCCCCTCCCCCATGCGGAGGATGCGCTCCCCTCCCAGCTCCTCCAGGAGGGTGTCGACAGCACGAGCGAAGGCGCAGAAGTGGGGGTAGGCTCGCGATCCCAGGCCGAACACCGAGAACCTGCAAGCAGACCAGAGAGCTGCAGCTGCCTGACGTCGCCGGTGGAGACCGAGCAAGGAGCGTCCACCTGCGGAGGCAGCGCTTCCACCCACATGCCCTTGTTCAGCCTGTAGGCCTAGCAGGAAAAGAGAGAAACAAACCCACCTGCACCCCTCCTGGCTCCCCAAAACCAGAGCATCAGGGCTCAGCCTCCCCCAGTCTGAAGCCAAAGAAGGAAACCTTACAGAGGTAACTGCACCTCTCCAATTCTGTTAGGAAATGGCCATGACTACCTCTCCCTGGCACTGCAGTGGGAGCATGGCGGGCTGTGTCTTGCTGGGGGGGGTGGGATCTGGCCAGCAAGAAGCCAGGGGGGGGGGGGCTCCTACAGATGTGGATGTGCCAACACAGCAAGTCACAGCTCAATAGTCCTAGCAGGACTGGGGCGATGCCTGGTAACTAGTCTCCTATGGCCCCAGGAAGTCAGTCAGGAGAAGGGGGGAATATAATAGGGACATCAAGTTAGGCTAGCTCGGGGAGCTGGTGGTGATTGGCCTGTTGCACAGCTGCTTAGAGGAGATCTTTGCTTCAGGGGTCCGCGCGGGCCCCTTGGCTGCTACTAAACACTGACAAAGCTGGAGCCAGTCTGGCTCAGCTGTGCAGCAGGTTTGCGAAAGCAGCTGATAGAATTGTAAGAATGCCCTCGGTATTTAGGTGATAGGTGGTTGTGAGTTGCTGTCTGCATTAATCTCACTTGTAACCCTCTGTTGCCCATATTCCAAGGTCACATTCGGGAGTTTTGCATCGTGAGCCTCTGCAACTGCGTATGCCACCAGACAGGAGGGAGACACCAACCAGGGTAGCACGCTGATTTCCAGCAGAAGGTGTTACATCCTGGCCAACAGGAGAGGCCCTGCGGCTACTTGACTACTGTGGAACCCTTAAGAAGATGAAAAACTTTGCTGATTGCTTTTCTCCCTCCTCAGGAAGGGGAATCATAGCAGTGAATTCCTACTCCTCCCATCAGCTAGGTGTGCAGCTCAAGCACGAGGGAGGAAGGGGATAAAAATCCCCAACAAGGAAGAACTGAACTATTATTCATCCTTAAATTTGACACTTTACGAATGGGCCTTAATAGAGATGCTAACAACCTTACCCATTACAAAGATAGCATCCCCAATTATCACCCCCTAATATCATTATCTCATAGACACTAAACTCCCCCCCACACACATTCCCCCTCTCTTCTAAAATCTGATTTGTCAATTTTATGTGTGTTCATTTTTTAAAATTGTATCCTTTGGTATATATGGTTGTGCCAATTTTCTTCCACTATTTGATCTGAGGAAGTGGGTCTGGCCCACGAAAGCTCATCACCTAATAAACCATCTTGTTAGTCTTTACAATGTTGCATAGTCCTGTCTTTTGTTTATGCTGCTTGGGCACTAGGAGGCAGGGCTTAGTAGGCATAACCAAAAGATCCCCAGTGCTTAAGGGTGGGTTAGCCCAAGAGGACATACAGAGCTTGCTTTTTGCAGAAGCTTCTCTTACTGTTTGAAATTTAAGCTTGGAACTTATTGGTGTGTAAGTCGACCTGCTTTAGCCTTGTAAATAACTCCTGTTTCCCTTTCCTATTTCATAAACTGTGGACAGTTTATTAGAGGATTGGCTTCATGCGCTGTCTTTGATGTGAGATCTAAGGTGTAACTGACCTGGGGGAAGTGGCAGGTCCTTTGGGACTGGGCATAACCTGAATAGCGCAGTGATGGTTGGTTGTAGGGGACCATCTATCATGGCTTGCCTGAGTGGCACAGCAGATCAGAGTGCCCCAGAGAACCACCTGTGACTCCATGGTTAGGGTGTTACAGCACCAGAGGAGTTCACACAGAACTCAGTACAGGAATCAGCCAGTTTGGGGCTTGGGCCTTGGTTCTCAACAGTCTGCCTGGCAGCAGGGGGTCATGCTTTTGAGGCACTGTGGATGGGCCTCTCTTGTTGGCCACGGCGTAATACTTCCTGCTGGAAATCAGCATACGACTCTAGTTCGTGTCTCTCTCCTGTCTGGAGCCCTTTGCATCAGCTGCAGCATCCCTTCTCTTCTCTCTCCTTCCCTGAGGCCCTTATGGGCTGATGGAGACAGGCGGAGCCCTTGAGAAGCAACCCCTCCCTCCCTCTCCATGCTGCTCACCTGACATTAGCCAGAGGCCCTGTGCTCTCAAAGTTGTCCCTGGCCTCGGGCCCATCACTTGAAGACTTCCGTGCATCCGAGTAAGAGGAGACACTGTTAAAACGGACCTTGTAGCTCCTGCAAACAGCAATGACAGCAAGTGTTATGGCAGCTGCAGCTCTTGCTCCTGGGTCACAGTGCCAGAGATGGGACAGGCCATCGAGTGCTAGGAAAAGGGGCACAGTTTGGGTAGTGCTCCCCAGGCAGAGCCTGAGTTCAGGGCTCTGCTCTTTGCCTGTCCCACGGGAGGCTATTAATAGTGCACAGAGCAGGGAGCTGAGCTCTCTTCCCTACAGTGGGTGCAACCCATCGACCGTGTATGTTACATGCCTCCGGAGGCAGAGTCTGTTGCAAGCCCTCAACAGAATCTTAGAACACTAGGACTGGAAGGGACCTCGAGAGGTCATTGAGTCCAGTCCCCTGCCCTCACAGCAGGACCCAGCACCCTCTACATCAAGGGTTCCCAACCTTTTTCGGTTCCCGTTACCCCCTTGGCTTTTAGTAAACCTTCCCTTACCCCCCTATTCAATATGAAAGGAAATACATTCTAGACTCTAGAATCCACAACTTTTTTCACTAACACTACTACTTTTGGAATAATTCAGTTAGGATAATCTAGTTATTTACCAAATATTCCCCGTACCGCCTTGACAAGCTTCTCATACCCCCTGGGGGTATGCGTACCCCAGGTTGGGAACCCCTGGCCTAGAGCATCTCTGATAGACATTTATCTAACCTGCTCTTAATTATCTCCACAGATGGAGACTCCACAACCTCCCTGGGCAATTTATTCCAGTGATTCATCACCCTGACAGGCAGGAAGTTTTTTCTAATGCCCAACCTAAATCTCCCTTGTTGCAGCACCCTGTGCTCCCCAGGCAAATGCTGTATCCCCTAAGCCACACCAGTATCCATTCCACCTTCCCTACCTTCAGAGGGTCCCTGCCTTTCTAATGTGGGAGCCATATTCATCTGTGGATCCCAGGGGTTGAGCTGCTGGAGCCACATAGGGGACGGGACCGGATGGGGGCAATGGCCAGATGGGGGCCAGGCTGGGCGAGGCACCACAGCCAGGCTGCTGGGGCACCAGGGCCTGCTGCAGGATCGGGACTGAGACCAGGACACCATGAACAGATGGGGGTCAGGCCTGGGTGGGGGCCACCATGACTGAATGAAGGTTGGGGCTGGAGCAGCTGCGGCTGAATGACGCTGAATTTGGGCCCAGGCTATTGCAGCTGGATCAAGGCTGGGGCAGCCCCACCCCCTCAGCAGGATTGGGACCAGGTAGCCATGGCAAGAGCCAGGTTGCAGCTGTATGGCCTGTGACAGTTTCCTGGCTGGAGCCTAGAGGCCTTGGCAGGTTTGAGGGCAGGCTAGTTCATTGAGCACTACAGCGGCACAGCTTACAGGGATCTTAGGTACAGAACCTTGCGAAGGGTTGGGCCCTACATTAAGCTATTGGGCTAGAATTTCCAGTGGTTTCTCAGGGATTAGGATTCCATTGCCATTCATGGAGGATTCCATGCCATTCATTGAGGATTCCATTGCCATTCATTAAGGATTCCATTGCCATTCATGGAGGATTCCAGTGCCATTAGATTCTCGAGTTCAGAAATGCTGATCTTAGCACATAGAAAAGTGTTCTTCACCTCCAGGTCTGAAGGCCACTGCCGGTCACTAGTCAACCATTAGTATTGGCATGAGCCATGCTCACAGCAAGACCAGCTCTGGAGCTTACTGTGGGAAGGAGAGGACAGAGACAGCCCATCATATATCTAGGTTCCAGGCTGTGCAGGCCCTTAAAAATAGTAGAATCTCAGATTAGGGTTTGGAAGAAACCTCAGGAGGTCATCCAGTCCAACTACAGTTAAATCATCCCAGCCAGGGCTTTGTCAAGCCTGGCCTTAAAAACCTCTAGAGATGGAGATTCCACCCCCTCCCTAGGGAATCCATCCCAGTGCTTCCCACCCTCCTAGTGAACTAGTGTTTCCTAATATGCAACCTAGACACCCCCTTCCCCACAACTTAAGACCATCGCTCCTTGTTCTGCCATTCATCACTACTGAGAACAGCCTCTCTCCATCCTCTCTGGAACCTCCCTTCAGGAAGTTGAAGGCTGCTATCAAATCCCCCCTCACTCTTCTGTAAACTAAATAAGCTCTAAATAAGCCGGCTGGACCCTCTCCAATGTGTCCACATCCTTTCTGTGATGGGGGGCCCAGAACTGGACACAGTACTCCAGACGTATCTCACTAATGCTGAATAAAGGGGAATAAACCCTTCTGTAGATCTGCTGGCAATGCTCCTCCTAATGCACCATAATATGCCATTAGTCTTCTTGGCTACAAGGGCACACTGTTGGCTCATATCCAGCTTCTGGATCCCCAGGTTCTTTTCTGCTGAACTGCTACTTAGCTAGTCAGTTCCTAGCCTGTAACAATGCTTGGGATTCTTCCATCCCATTCTTGTTGACTCTCATCAGATTTCTTTTGGCCCAATCCTCCAATTTGTGTAGAGGACTCTGGACCCTATCTCTACCCTCCAGTGTATCTACCTCTCCCCCTAGCTTAGTGTCAACACCTCAAATTGTACTTGTAAGCGACAGTAGCAGCCAGCGTTGGCTCAGATACTTAGCTCAACCCAGGTACTTGAGTTATGCATTGTTGCCCACCTCATACTCAGCTACAATCTCCTTCCAGGATACCCTGTAATGTAGGGTATTGCAAGAGTCCAGCACAGAAGCCACAATAAACCAGATAGAGAGCTATGTGAATAGCACTATGAAATGCTTTGCAGGGAGGCACCCTTTGGGATGGCCTATTGTCCTGCTCCAGGAAAGAGGCCATTAAAAACCATAAGGATTTGCAGATTGGGAGCTCTATAGGGATTTGTCACAGTATATGTACGCACAGCAGGCAGGCCACTGTGGGGCTGTAACACAACAATCAGTGTGCAAGTAATTAATTGACATTATTGTTCTGAGCAAGAATGTTATTCCCTGTACTTTAGCATCATTTCTTAACTTCCAAAGGAACAGATTAGAGCCAAGACTTTTCTCCTCATTAACACCTGATTAAACCCCACTTATCACCAGCCAGATGCTAATTCTGTCCTGACTAAGCAGCAGGCATTACTATTCACTATCATCATTAGGTTTACACAAGAGACTTCACAGGGAGCTGATGTCCCAAGTAAGTGGAATATGCTGTACTAATAACAACACTGCTAGTTTGCAGCAACCTGGATATCAAAGCTCTTTGCAAAAAAATAGTAACTAACTGTGGTAGATGTTAAGTGGCTTGCCCAAGTCTCATCCTGCTTATGTAGCAGAACCGGTATCAGATGATAGAAAACTGACTTTGCTCTATCCCCAAGCTAAAACGAAGGACATGACCTTAGCTCGACGATAGTACTTACAGGTGTTTTTAGATAATACTATGGTAAACTGAGGATAGGCTCCTCTAATGTTGCCTTTCAGCCCACCTAAAGTGATTTTATGGTGAATTTCATGATATTTAGGGTCTTCCCTTAAAGCCCCAACATCTGGAGTCATGGGAGAAGCTCAGCATTTTAAAGAAAGTGACCAGTTCAGAAATGTGATCCTTCAAGCCTAAAAGGCAGATAAAAAGAAACCAACATTTATTATTTTTACATCATCTCATTGTTAAGGGTTGGCAATACAGACTGAGAGCTGCCTGGAAAAAGCAAAAGCTGTAAAACATTGCCACCTAGTGGTAAACTGGTTTAACTACAGGCTGGACCTCTGGTCTGGCGCACTTAGGATCTGACTGGTTCCCAACAAGGGAGTCTGCAGGATCAGGGGAGATCAGTTTCACTTCCGCTGCTGACAGACATTGGGTTCTCCTGGTGTCCATCAGCAGACCTAGCAAGACTTCCCTCCCAGCCTCAGAGCTCTCCTGTCTCCCACCATAGGGCTCCTGGGCCAGCCACAGGGCTGCCAGGGACGCCTGTATGGCTGCAAAGAAGAGTTCAGAAATGTGACCCTTCTAGGCTTAAAACTGGGTTGGGGGAAAGGGCCTCTGTGGGCCAGATCCAGCCCACCAAGTGAGTTGATCTGGCCCATGGAGGCCTTGCCTCTCCGCCCACCCTCCAGACAGGGGCGGCCCGTGTCTATAGGCAAACTAGGCAGCCGCCTAGGGCACCAAATTTCATGGGGCACCGAATTCCAAACCCTGCCCCTTCCATTTCCCATTGCCTTTCTGCTGCCTTACCTGGAGCACAGCTTCCCTGTGGCCAGGAGGGGGGTAAGTCCCGGGGGAGGAGGCGCGCGGGGGGGAGGGTTGGCCCCGGGGGAGGAGAAACGCAGGGGAGTTGCCCAGGAGGAGAAGGAACGC